ACATAGGCCTTCGAGAACTTCGACGAAGACATAGGACGGTAGACGACGAGGACGACAAGTTCAAATGTCATTGCGGCTTCGAATGCGAAGACCGTGTTCATGTAGTCGCGGAATGTCCATGGTACGAAGAGAAGAGGGAAGTGTACATGACTGAGCTGGGGAAAAATAGAAGGGGACGTACAGGGAGATGCTTGAGGCATGGAATAGAGAGGAGAGGGCAGTAGCTGTACTGGGGAGTAGGAAGTGGTTTGAAAAGGCGGGAGGGGATATCGTTAGGATAGATAGACTAGGGACGACATTTTTGAGCCACCTTTGGCAAAGTAGGAAGGAACGATTGGCCATCGTTGATCGGTCCTGTGGGAACAATGCTCCGTCCTCTCGAGGATGCGTGGTCAATGGTCTAACCGCTAAGGCATGCAAAACGTAAGAATATGCCCCCTCTCCCTATCTCCATTGGTCCACAATCCAGTTTGGGGCAGTGCCTCCAAAATTTGGATCCGCGAGCCCTCTTGGCCCGACTGCTGTTCCGCTCTCTACAGCCACAGATCTCTGATGTGCGAATTTGGTAGCACACGGAGACCAGATGACTTAATATACCATATCATAGAATGTGTCGCTGCTAGAACTGCAAACGCTGTGAGTTAGCTAGTTCGGCGATATCGCGTTTTTGTGGAATCTCTCCGCTTCTTTTCGGTTCGCCAAGAAGGGATAACAAGAGCCGTTACGTCTCCGGGCCCTGTTCCCGCGTGCGTGCAGGTTTCTTTTTTTTTCGAGGCATGTCTAGTGTCTAGTATTAATAGGCTACGAGGCGTAGCATACAGTATGTTGTTCTTCAGGCCCCGCTTGGGAGAACCGCGATCTCTTCTTGAACATGATATCTGCGTGACACAGGCGGCATAGCAGCAGCGCGAGCAAAAGAAAGCCATCGAGGTCCAATTCCCGTTTTTGTTTGAGGTCTGAAAAGCGACAACCAGTTTTATCATCATCGAGGACTTGTCGAGGAAAGTGCTTCGTGCGCTCAAGCTGTGCACATGCCAAGTATTCATGCATGCCAGACCTCTATATCCATACTTAATCCAATATACCAATAGAAGGCAACCTTCCCGCCGTGTCTCACGGCACCTGAGTACTTCAATCGGTAGAGGACACCAAAGAGACGTCGTGTTTGCTGGCACGTTCGGGTTTGCTGTTGGAGCTGAAATATCGAAGGTCGCAGGTCGTGGTAGCGGCCAACAATGTCCGCAAATTTGAACAAGTAAGACCAACACCCCTTGTTTTCCTGAGCGCACGGAAGGGGCTGTCGAATCTGTGGGAACGGACTTGTTGTGCTTGTGCTCGCCGCCACGGACGGTAAACCCCTGAACGGCGGGTGGTCAGCAGTACAATACTAGTTCGTTCTCTTCAATTGGTCATCATTCATGATTGACAGCGTTGATTGTTTGTTTTGCCGGTACTAATGCTCTCCCTTCACGACGGCCACTGCTGATGATGCATCTGCCACGTGCTGCTTCACGCTCTGTTCATCGTGTGTGTGTGTGCTGTGCGTGTGATTGTCACAGCTGAAAAGAAAGGAGGGGAGCGAGGAGCTGGAGATGGTCGTTGACGAAGTCTTGGAGGTGCGTTGTGGTGGCATCGATGATCTCGTAGGGCGTGTTTGTTGTCGACGGATCAAAACAATTTTGGACATGCTTTTCGTCTCTTGTTGTTCTTGTTCTTCTTGTTCTGCCGATGCTGCTGTCGTGACTGTTGCTGTTGCTGTTGTATGGGCTATTGTTTCGTATGGTTGAGCTGTCCGACCTGCGAGTGCAGAGAGAGGTGCGACGCTCCGTGCCCAGCAGCACCCACGCATGGATTTTGTCGGCAACGCACGCCCGTTTCACCTCGTCTATTGGCCTCCTCGCGTTGCAAAGGTTGTTTTTCGGCACGTCATTATTTTCTCGTACATGCGTGCACAACGTGTGTGTGGCCTTCCTGTAACCCCCAGAAATTGTATCTACCGAAAGATGTAAAAGACAGACCTCCAGAACAATAGGACGGCCAATAAAAATATAAACATAAACGCGAAAAGAAGTATCTTAGCGGATACCGCAGTGGAGATCGGCGGCATGTAGTTGCCGATATGTATGTATGTTGTTGTTGTTGTTGTTGTTGTCTTCACATGAAAAACCGTTCTGATCTGTCTCTACCCAGTACCTTCATATATCCATACTGATCCAACACTTGACCCAACACTTGACGCGGTCGATTCCCGTGGTCACAGGCTAACGTACACTCAAATAAATTGGCCCCGAGGGGTCCGCAAGTCAATAGAAGTTAACGACAGATATATATAGTATGTACGTGTGTTATCTTGCTTGTTCTTTTTTTCCTCAATGGAGTAGGCCCAGGCGGCAGGTTTCACGGAGTGGTTTCCTCCGACCGGCGGGTGCGAGAAAAACAACTTGTATTAAACACCTCCTGCTTTACCTGAGCCACCTTGGTAGAGTCGGGTCTTTTGAGCCCATCGGGTCGTTCATCGCGCATTTTTGCGCCACGCGAATTAGTTCGATTCCTGCTTGTGCTCAGAGGTGGCAAATGGCAGTTTTACCGCTTTCGGGTAGGGCCCCGCAGACCGAACGCCAACGCTGTGGATATATACTCGCTAGAACGGCCTCGACGATAAGGAGCCCATACGTATCTGCAGCAGTGCCGCTTATATGGCGAGTGCGGGTGCCGTATAGTCTACCTCTCCTATGTGCTCAGAATCCCTCCTCTTTTTTCACCGATCGGCCGGTTAGACTTGTGGAAACCTTAACCTTGGGGCCTCCGGCCCTGACTAAAAGTACAGAGAACCTGAAGGCTTCGCGATGGACTAGCTGGTTTCGAGCCCCCCCCCCCCTCACATACACCTGCAATGATCTCCCCTGCCCCCCCCCC